TGATGTATTTATATATTATATATTGTATATTACATTTATATATTGATATATGAGTATAGCGATATATGAATATAGTGAAATATGAATATATTGATATATAAGTATAGTGATATATGAGTATAGTGATATATGAATATAGTGATATATGTGAATATATTGATATTGAATATAGTGGTATATGAATATAGTGATACGTAATCTGTAGGTATAAGTCCACGCTCGTGTGTTCGGTCTTTTAAGGCAAGACTAAGAGTGGCAGTTTGGGACTTTGGCCGCAGGGGGGCGCAGCGCCTTCAGCACCTCCCGCTTCACCGCTCGTCTCTCACACGGAGGAGGAAAACACGCGGACTTCAGTGGTGAGTAAAGGCCGCTTTTACCAGCGAGGCTGAAGGAATCAGTACTGACTCTGTACTGAATCGGTTCTTTATCTGATCTCACGCGCTCGAGTTTACATATAAAATACACATATAACATCCGCACAGACGTCATCACACGTTTCACCCTGATAACTTTCCTCTTTTCATCAGCTCAACTTCAGAAAGCAGAATAAGAGTCTTTTCTTCCTCTTTTCAGAGTGTTAGTGAATTCACAGTTAAAGCAACCAAATGAACATCTCTGAGATCAAAACACTCAATATTTAAATTAATAAAGACAGTACTGATTATTTAAATGAATGAAGACAGTACTGAATATTTAAATGAATAAAGACAGCACTGAATATTTAAATTAATAAAGACTACTGAATATTTCATTTAATAAAGACAGTACTCAGTATTTCAATTAATAAAGACTATTAAATATTTAAATGAATAAAGACAGCACTGAATATTTCATTTAATACACAATAACAGAAATGACTACATATTACAATTAAAACAACTGAATATTTTAAGACAGTTTTAAACGTGAAAGAATTAATTATTTAATACTAAAATTTGTATTTTTACATTGAATTTTAATATTTTAAAATAAAATACAGTACTGAATGCTTTAATGAAAATAGTCCTGAAGTTTTAATGAAAAAACAGTACTGAATGCTTTAATGAAAATAGATAGTACTGAATGTTTTAATGAAAAAACACAGTACTGAATGTTTTAATGAAAAAAACACAAAACTGAATGTTTTAATGAAAAGGCAGTCCTGAATGTTTTAATGAAAATACACAGTACTGAATGTTTTAATGAAAATACACAGTACTGAATGTTTTAATGAAAAAACAGTACTGAATGTTTTAATGAAAAAAACACAAAACTGAATGTTTTAATGAAAATAGGCAGTCCTGAATGTTTTAATGAAAATACACAGTACTGAATGTTTTAATGAAAATACACAGTACTGAATGTTTTAATGAAAAAACAGTACTGAATGTTTTAATGACAAAAACACAGTCCTGAATGTTTTAATGAAAATACACAGTACTGAATGTTTTAATGAAAAAACACAGTCCTGAATGTTTTAATGAAAATACACAGTACTGAATGTTTTAATGAAAAAGCACAGCACCTAATGTTTTAATAAAAAAAAGTTCTGAATGTTTTAATGAAAAAACACAGTACTGAATGTTTTAATGAAAATAGGCAGTACTGAATGTTTTAATGAAAAAACACAGTCCTGAATGTTTTAATGAAAATAGGCAGTACTGAATGTTTTAATGAAAAAGCACAGTACTGAATGTTTTAATGAAAAAACACAGTCCTGAATGTTTTAATGAAAAAGCACAGTACTGAATGTTTTAATGAAAATACACAGTACTGAATGTTTTAATGAAAAAGCACAGTACTGAATGTTTTAATGAAAAAACACAGTACTGAATGTTTTAATGAAAAAACACAGTACTGAATGTTTTAATGAAAATAGACAGTCCTGAATGTTTTAATGAAAAAACAGTACTGAATGTTTTAATGAAAATAGACAGTCCTGAATGTTTTAATGAAAATAGACAGTCCTGAATGTTTTAATGAAAAAACAGTACTGAATGTTTTAATGAAAATAGACAGTCCTGAATGTTTTAATGAAAATAGACAGTCCTGAATGTTTTAATGAAAAAACAGTACTGAATGTTTTAATGAAAATAGGCAGTACTGAATGTTTTAATGAAAAAACACAGTACTGAATGTTTTAATGAAAAAACAGTACTGAATGTTTTAATGAAAAAACACAGTACTGAATGTTTTAATGAAAAGGCACAGTCCTGAATGTTTTAATGAAAATAGACAGTACTGAATGTTTTAATGAAAAAACAGTACTGAATGTTTTAATGAAAATAGACCGTCCTGAATGTTTTAATGAAAATAGACAGTCCTGAATGTTTTAATGAAAAAACAGTACTGAATGTTTTAATGAAAATAGACAGTCCTGAATGTTTTAATGAAAATAGACAGTCCTGAATGTTTTAATGAAAAAACAGTACTGAATGTTTTAATGAAAATAGGCAGTCCTGAATGTTTTAATGAAAAAACACAGTACTGAATGTTTTAATGAAAAAACACAGTACTGAATGTTTTAATGAAAAAGCACAGTCCTGAATGTTTTAATGAAAATAGACAGTACTGAATGTTTTAATGAAAAAATCTGAATGCGAATGAATTTTTCAGATGAAAACAGACCGTTCTCGATATTTTAATATAAACATGAAGTACTGAATATTTCTTCGATAACAGACAGAACTGAGTATTTAAATTAAAGCGTACTGAGTGTTTAATGACGCCGCGCTGGGTGTTTAAATTAAACATGCAGATCTGAGAGTTTGATAAAAAAAACAGTACTGAATATTTTGGTACCTTAAATTCAGGTGGAGGCGGCACTGCTCCGTTTTGCGAACTGTTTTAGATCTTCAGGTGAACCGCGTGTCGCCTCGCGCGGACTTCACAGAGCGGCTGATTAAAGGTGGAGCCGCATTCAGCTCCGATCAGGACGATCAGATTATCCGCGCGATTTTCCACAAATAGAGTTTAAAAAAACTAGAAAAAGAAAATACGACGCTGCGTTAAACAGCAGCTCGCGCGGCTTTTCCGAGCAGGTGAGCAGCTGGTTCTCCTGGTTCTGCAGATCAGCCTGAGCGCGCGGAGCTGTTCACTCTCCGTTTCTGAACTCCAGACTTTCTTAAACAGATCAGACTCCAGACTGTCGGACACTCAGTGCTGCTGAAGGACGTTTCACGAGGACACTAATAAACACGAGCTTGACCTGGTCAGATGATCCAGAAGCTCCTCTACAGAACAAGGTGCCCACCTTCACTGCGCGCGCACGACTGGAGTCAAAGTTTTCAATCATAAATAAAAACGAATAAAATTATTCTAAATTTTAAAAAAGTGTAGAAACGCCGGATGTTTTCAGAATGACGGACAGAATGACGGACAGAGCTGAAGACTGAGACTCTAAAACTCAGAAAGCCGCAGAAGTTCAAATGAAATTAAAATCCAAAATTCATCACTTTTCAAAAGCGGTGATCAAATCTAAAAACCACAAATAAACGTACATTATTAACTGCAGCGCGTGCTCAGGATTTTATTCACTTCCTGTTCACGGATTTACAGTTGACCCCGCGCTCTGTACGTTAATATAAAACTAAATTATTATCAAAGCAAGAGACTCCGAACTCTTGAACGCTGTGCAAAAGTTTTAGCACCATGTTTTGTTGATTTTCTAAGTGAAAATAATTTCGGCAGCACAGAAACATCACAGTTTTCTACATTCATTTTCTATTCATTTGCCCAGGAGCGCGCGAACTTTTGCACGCGACTGAATGTACATGTATAATATATAATGTATCCTATAAACTCAGTGTTCAGTGTAATGAGGTTTTAGTCCACTGGCTTTTAATTGGAACAAAAAATGGAAAAAACAAAAATGTAACATAATTTTGATTCTATTATTATTATTATTATTATTATTATTACACTTTCAGCGTTTGTATCTCTGGGAAACGGATGATTTCAGCCAAATCTCAACATAACTGAGGCTTGACGAGCTTCATCTGCTTTTCCGTTTTAGAAGTTTAGATTTTTTAAATAATGCAGTGAAATTGCGCCAGAAATCTGGAGATTACAGTGACATTGAAGACAAAGTTGTCTCCGCTGTGACTTTATTGGTGGCTTAAATTCTCAGAAGGCCAAACTTTACCAAACATAACATTACGGCTGAGAAATGAACGCTTACAGCTGCATGCGCACATCAATCTGCAACAAAACCAAAAACATGGAAGAAATTTTGACGTTACAGTTTTAAAAGTGCGATTGTGGTGTAGATCGACCCCCCCACACCCCCACCCCCCACTCCACCACCACCACCACCACCACCAAAAAGACTCCCCAAAAACAGTCCAACTCAGGATGGATAAATAAGACGTGTTGACAGAAGAAATTCACTCGCATACAGTTCTGGATATTTACTAGAGTCAATAAACAACTAAAATACTATACAAACCAATAATACACCAGCCAGACTTTCACAGTCGCGCGCAATAAACCTCCGGACTATTCTACACACTCCAGTTCGGCCTGTACAGCCGGGGAAACAAGTACATTTCATACAAACGTGCTCAGCGCGCGCTGAGTTCCAGGACATTTCTGTACAGAGAGGCTATTTTTAAATTTCCCCAAAATGAGAGAGATGAAGGACGAGGCAGCGCGCGGGGTTTATCCCGCCACACAGACTCGGAGTGATAAAGTGCCGGTTTGGTTTGGAGAAAATAATCTAAACAGCAAACAGCAGGAAGAAGAACCGCTTCAGTGACATTAAAAGAGATTTTAACATCAAAGCAAACGAGGCTTTAGGCAGTACGTACCCAACAGTACCGCGCGCTCTACGCAATCTGTCCCCCAAACAGTTCACGCGGAGCTGGTCCGGGACAGAGCTGCCCCAGGGGGACACTTTTCTACTTTTTTGTGTTGTTCTTGTTGTCCAGTAAATATCCTGTAAAACGGCCCGAAGTTCCGTCCGTTTTTATGGACCCTGTTTGGAGTTTCCAGCCCCCTCACGCTCAGCACAGCTCCGGAGGGGACACATAAGTTAGCTGTCCTGCAGGTACATTTCTGTTATATGTTTGTCCTGGTTTGGGGCAGCGCGCACGGGGAATAAAAGAGCTGGATTTTTTGTTTATTTGCTTGTTTGTTTGTTTGTTTTGCTTTCTTGCAGTGGGGTAAATGAATGAGCTGGACAATCCAGCTAATTTCTTCAAATAAGGGGTCCCCCAGTTAAGGTCCATTTTTGCCCAGGGATAAGAAATGAGCCCCCCAGTCCAGGTCTCTTCTTTGCCTTGGTTTGGGACAAACCAGTCCCCCCAGTCCAGGTCCATTTTTGCCCAGCTTTGGAGTAAATGAGCCCCCCAATCCAGGTATATTTCTGTGCCTGGTTTGAGGCAAAGAATCCCCCCAGTGCAAGTCTACTTTTTGCCCTGGTTTTAAGTAAATTAGCCCCTCAGTCCAAAGCCATTTTGCCCTGGTTTTGGATAAGTTATGCCCACCCCCACAAATCCAGGTACAGTTTTCACCCTGGTTTGAGGTACAATAGCCCCCCAGTGCAGGTCCCATTTTACCCTGATTTGAGGCACACCAGCCCCCCCAGTCCAGGTCCACTTTTAGCCCTGGTTTGGGGAAAATGAACACTCCAAACCAGGCCAATTCCTCCCTCTGGTGTGGAGTCAGTCAGCCCCCCAGTCCAGGTCCATTTTTTGTCCTGGTTTGGGGTAAACCTGCCCCCCAGTCCAGTTTAATTTCTCACCCTGGGATGGGGCAAATCAGCCCCCCAGTCCAGATCCATTTTTTGCCCTGGTTTGGGGTGAATCAACTCCCCAGTGCAGGTTCAGGTTGGGGGGTGCATGGGCTCATGCCTCCGCGGGCTGCAGTAGCTCGGGTGTCCCGCAGTGAGGGCTGCCTGCCCCACTCTGCTCGCTATCTGTGTCACTGCTGCCCCGTTTGCCCCCTCCTGACCCCCCGGAGCCCCCTCCGGAGCCCCCAGGTCCCGCAGTGCCGCTGTGCGTCTTCACATGCTTGCTGAGGTGGTCGCTGCGCATGAATCGCTTGCCACACACAGGGCATGCAAAGCGCTTCTCGCCGGTGTGTGTGCGCAGGTGGCGCTGGAGCTCGTCGGAGCGTGTGAAGCGTTTACCACAGAAGAGCCAGTTGCAGACAAACGGTCGCTCGCCCGTGTGCCAGCGCAGATGTGCCTTCAGGTGCGATGTCTTGCCGTACACTTTCCCGCAGCCTGGGATGTGGCAGCTGTGCAGTCCCTTTCTGCGCATGCTTGCGGCACCCGCAGGTCCCAGCCGCTCAGCCTCCTGGCAGTTGGGACAGTCGCAGGTGGCGCGACCTGCGTAGCGGCGCGCAGAGGAGCGAGGTGATGATGAGGATGATGAGGAGGATGGTGGTGGAGCCCCTGCAGTCAGCATGGCCCCTCCGGACGCGCATGAGTCCCCGTATGGTGACGAGAGCATGGGCTTGAACCCGTCTATCAGGTGCTGCCCGCTCAACAGGTGTGGTGATGTGCCGGTGCCGAACGCCGCATGGCTCAGGCTTGCGAAGTCCGAGGATGACCCGTAGCCATGCAGTGGCGAGTGCAGAGATGGCCCTGCATGCAGCGGAGGAGCCTGGGGCTGTGTGCCCGCACCCTGCACATCCACCCAACTTGCGCCCACGTCCCACCATGCTGAGGCATATGGCTCATATGGGTGTGTGGCAACGCTCACGCGTGGGTAGATGCCCTGCAGCCCATCCACCTTGGTGGACAGGAAGACATCCTGGGAGCTGCCAGAAGGGAAGACGGAGTAGTCACTGGAGAAGTGAGACCCGGATGATGCGCTGGATGACGACGTGAGCGAGAAGGCACTTGAGCCGCCCGCCGTCGTGGCACCACTCGTGCACAGTGACTCACTGCCACCTGCGACTCCGACTCCATTGCTCCTTGCACCGTAGGAGACCAGGGCTGAGCTCGCACCACCTCCACCACTACAGCTGCTGCCACTGCTGCTGCCACTACCGGTCAGTGCCGCACGCTTCCACGGGTGGAAGCCCTGGAAGCTCTTGGCGAAGGAGGAGGGGTTGTCTGGCACGGCGGAGGGAGAAGGGCTCGCACTCCCAATCTTGTTGCACGTTGCAGCCAGCATGGCCAATGGAGTGGAACCCAACCTCGGCTCCTCCTGGAGATAGGAAGAAGAAGGCGATGAAAACGGAGCAGAAGAAAGAGAAAAAGAAGAAGAAGAAGAAGAGAAGAAGAAGAGAAGAAGAAAAGGCGAAGAAGAAGAAGAGGAGGAGGAGATGAAAATGAAGAAGGAAAAGAAGAAGAAGAAGAAAGAAGAAGAAGAAGAAGAAGAAGAAGAAGAAAGATAAAAGTGAAGGAAAAGGAGGAGGAAAGAAGAAAAGAATTAGAGAAGATGCGAGGAGATGAAAACGGAGAGAAGGAAAGAGGAAACGAAGAAAAGGGAGTTAGAGAAGAAGGAGAAGAAGGCGAGAGGAGCGCGAGCCGAAGGTGAGTGGACAGTTCGTTGGAGAGTGTTTGCGCGCGCGCTGCTGAAGCAGTTCAGCAGAAACTCAGTTCAGTAAATATCATACAAACAAAACAGCGCGAGAGGCGAGTAAACAAACACACACACGTACTAGGCACATGAGAAGAGTACTGCAGTCTCCGCGTGCGCCGCTCTCTTCCCCCTCACGCGCTTTTCCTTGAAGCATGCAGTTCTGCCCCGCGCGCTCAGCAGAAGACACGAAACAGAGGAGCAGTTAAATTAGCCACGAGCTCCTGAAACTCACCCCGAGCAGCGAAGTAGCCATCGCAGCAGCGTCCTCCCTCTCTCTCTGTCTCTCTCCCTCTCTCTGTCTCTCTCTCCCTCTCTCTCTGTCTTTCTAGCTCTCTCTGTCTCTCTCTCCCTCTCTCTCTGTATCTCTCTCTCTCTCTCTCTGTCTGTCTCTCTCTCTCTCTCTCTCTCTGTCTCTCTCTCCCTCTCTCTCTGTATCTCTCTCTCTCTCTCTCTCTCTCTCTCTCTCTCTCTCTGTCTCTCTCTCTCTCTCTCTGTCTCTCTCTCTCTCTGTTTATGACTCCGTTGTTGCTGTTGTTCTGTTCTGTAAAGCTGTTGCAGTGCTCCGCCCACTCCCCCCGCCGCTCCTCGCGCTGCCTTTGAAGTGCCGCTGTGACGCCGCGGACCAATCGGAGCGTGCGGGACGTTCACGCTGCAGGCGTTCCTTGCGTGACGTTGCCGGTGTGATACAGCGAGCAGCGCGCGCTCCACGCCCACTGCTAACAGAGCCGGAGATGGAAAGTTTTTATTTGTTTGTTTACTAGTTTGTGTATTAATTTAGTTAATCTGACCAGATTATTACATTTACAGGAATGAATCCGCTTTGTTTAGGAAAGTTTGGCCCAAATCATTTATTCAGTTTGTTTGTTTACTATAACAACTTAATGGGATCAAGTTATTCAGCGTTAAACTTCAATTAATGTTCTGAAATTTGTTTTGAAAAATGTAACCTGCACTCTTAAAAACAACGGTTCTTAGTAAAGACTGTACAGAACCACGAGCGTCCAAAGAACCGACTGCATGTTTAAATGGTTCTCTGCATAGTGAAATGTTCCTTCAGAATGATGGAGAATGAGCAGTAGAACCTTTTTTGAAACACATCTCTTTGAACCAATGTCAAGCGTGTAACAGTAGAACCGTTTCGGGTGCTGTATAGAACCATCCGCAGCACATTCTCCATAAATCTGAGGAACCATTTCACAATGCAAAGAACCATTTAAGCATGCAGATGGTTCTTTAAGTGTTATGGTTCTGCATAAAATCACTGTCTTTACTAAAGAACCTTTGAAGGACCATCTTTTTCCAGATTTATTTATTTATTTATTTATTTATGTAACTCTTTCATTGGTGAATTGGGGTGGATGTTTATTGTTATAATAAGTGAATTCGAGTTTAACATCAAATGATTATTGTTGTTTTTGGTTGATAATTTCTATAATACGTGATTTTTTAGAAATAAAGTGTAAAAGGTAATTATTATTAATATGTTGAGAGAGACTGAAATTGTTTTGAACATTTTTGTGACAACAAGTGAATGCTGGACTAATTCGGTGTCTCATCTCATACAGGGAGTCTCAGAAGTGAGGAAACACCACATAGACTGAAAACGTGCCCCCCCTCACCCCCCCAACACACACACACACACACACACACACACACACACACAGGCAGGTTGTGTAAACCTGGTTCACTGTCTGCCAAACTGTTTTATTTTATATGAGAGTTTCTTCACTCCCTGTACATGAACTCCAATATTATACATACTGAAATAATAACGATGCTCATCAGTGCTCATTAACTGACTGACTAACATTCTCTAAAGTTCTACAGACTCTCAGTGTTTGTGCTGAAATGAGCTTCTTCATAAGGCAGTACAGATTAGAACAGAGGGCTGTATTGTTAGAACTGGTTCAGGTAAAAGTCATAATCATAATCATTATGTGTAATAAGGTTCACCTGAGGAACCCAAACAGAACCACAGTGGAACAGTGAAGCAGTGAAAGACTGAAAACATGAAAGAGTGAAATAGTGAAACAGTAAAAGATTGAATCAGTAGAACAGTAAAATAGTGAAAATGTGAAATAGTGAAACAGTGAAATAGTGAAAAAGTGAGAATGAAAGAGTGAAACAGTGAAACACTGAAATGATGAAACAGTAAAATAGTGAAACAGAGCAAATGTGAAACAGTACAATAGTAAACAGTGAAATGGTAAAACAGTGAAAGAATGAAAAAGTGAAATAGTGAGAGTGAAAGAGTGAAGCAGTGAAATAGTGAAAGAGTAAAACAGTAAAATAGTGAGAGTGAAACAGTGAAAGAGTGAAAGAGTAAAACAGTAAAATAGTGAGAGTGAAACAGTGAAACAGTGAAATAATGAGTGAAAGTGAAACAGTGAAATAATGGGTGAAAGAGTGACCAAGTGAAACAGTGAAAGAGTGAAACAGGAAAATAGTGACCAAGTGAAACAGTGAAAGAGTGAAATTGTGAGTGAAAGAGGGAAATAGTGAGAGTGAAAAAGTGAGAGTGAAATAGTGAAAAAGTGAACCAGTGAAAGAGTGAAGGAGTGAGAGTGAAAGAGTGAAATAGTGAAATACTGAGAGTGAAAGAGTGAAAGTGAAACAGGAAAATAGTGAAAGAGTGAGAGTGAAACAGTAAAATAGTGAGAGTGAAAGAATGAAATAGTGAGTTAAAGAGTGAAACAGTGAAACAGTAAAATAGTGAAATAGTGAAAGAGTGAAATAGTGAGAGTTAAAGAGTGAAAGCAGTGTAAAGTGTTGATCCTGTAAATAAACTGGAAGCTGCTCCTCGCGCTCAGCCTGTCCCTGTTTAAAGGACAGTGGTGGTGGTGTTGTAGGTTGTGTTCCGCTTAGCACTGATGTGGATGCTGATAGCACGTTAGCACGAGCGCGTGCGCTGCTCCGGGTGTAATGATGATGCGCGCGGACTTGTCCTCCATTTACATGCGGTCTGCACATGCGGCATAAATTTCATTTGAATTTCAAATTTAATAAAGCGCGAGGTTTTTAATCATGAGAAGTTTTATTTGTTTGATATTAACATTCTTATTGACCGGCTCCGATGACCAGCGTGGTCATTACAGGACAGCAAAAAAAAAAAAAGAAAAAGTTAATTAAAAGGAGCGAGGATTATTCATCACATCAGGCCTCGCGGGCCTCGCGCGCTCTTTACTGCAGAGCTGTGATAGATGGCTGATCACATTCACTCCTCTGTTTCTCCCGTTTACACAGCGCTGCTGAGTCCCTCGCTCACCATTACACTAATAGCTGATGGCACGTGAGCGAAGAGCGCGCGGCGATCACAATCACAGACACACACGCTGAAGGGCTTTAATCATTAAAGAAAAGGACTTCAAACACATGAAAGAGATCAAAAATGTGGATTTACCCCAAACATTTACTCCATATATTCACTCCTTACATTCACTCCATACATTTACTCCATACATTTACTCATATATTCACTCCAGACATTCACTCCATATATTCACTCCATACATTCACTCCATATATTTACTCCATACATTCATTCCATACATTCCCTCCATAAATACATACATACTTACATTTAGTCCATGTGCATATATAAGAAGTAATTGGACATATTGTCACTTTACCAAATGTTTCAGTAGTGACTGTTTCAGTAGTGACTGTCTCAGTAGTGGTTGTTTCGGTAATGATTGTTTCGGTAGTGACTGTTTCAGTAGCGGTTGTTCCAGTCGTGACTGTTTCAGTAGTGACTGTTTTGGTAGTGACTGTTTCGGTAGTGACTGTTTTGGTAGTGACTGTTTAAATAGTAACTGTTGTGGTAGTGACTGTTTCAGTAGCGGTTGTTCCAGTCGTGACTGTTTCAGTAGTGACTGTTTTGGTAGTGACTGTTTCGGTAGTGACTGTTTTGGTAGTGACTGTTTTGGTAGTGACTGTTTAAATAGTAACTGTTTCGGTAGTGGTTGTTTCGGTAGTGACTGTTTCAATAGTAACTGTTTCGGCAGTGACTGTTTCGGTCGTGACTGTAACACACACGCACACACAAACACACACAAACACCCAAACACACACACACACACAAACACACACACACACACACAAACACACACAAACACCCAAACACACACACACACAAACACACACACACACACACAAACACACACACACACAAACACCCAAACACACACACACACACAAACACACACACACACACAAACACACACACACAAACACACACATACACACACACACTAACACACACACACACACACAAACACACACACACAAACACCCAAACACACACACACACACAAACACACACACACACACAAACACACACACACACACACACACAAACACCCAAACACACACACACACAAACACACACACAAACACACACACACACACACGAACACATACACACACACACAAACACACACATACACACACACACTAACACACACACACACACACAAACACACACACACACACACATACACACACACACAAACACACACACACACACAAACACACACACACACACATACACACACACACAAACACCCAAACACACACACACACACAACACACACACACACACACACACACACACACAAACACCCAAACACACACACACACACACAAACACACACACACGCACAAACACAAAAAACACACACACACACACACACAAACACACACACACAAACACACACATACACACACACACTAACACACACACACACACAAACACACACACACACACACACATACACACACACACAAACACCCAAACACACACACACACACAAACACACACACACACACACACAAACACCCAAACACACACACACACACACACAAACACACACACACACCCAAACACAAAAACACACACACGCACACCCACTGCTATCAGAGCCAGAGATGTAAAGTTTTTAAGATTAATTTAGTTAATCTGACCAGGTTACTAAATCTCACAGAGGAATGAATCTGATTTGTTTAGGAAAATCATTTATTCAGTTTGTTCGTTTACTATAACAACATAATGGGTTTGTTATTTTGTGTTGAACTTCAATTATTGTTCTGAAATTTGTTTTGAAAAATTTAACCACACACACATACAGCACCCTCAACAATTATTGGCACCGCTCATTAAGATGTGTTAAAAGCCTTAAAATAAATTCAATTTTCATTTCAGAAGCATAATCTTACACTGAAAACTGTAGAGAAATGTAACCTATAACTCAAGTGAATTAAAAAAAAAATCCCTGACTAAGAAATCATTATTTTTATACAATCACCTGTTCCATAATTATTGGCACCCCAACAATTCCTAGAAAATAAG